ATATTTTCTGTGCAAATATCATTTGCAGTATTTATTTAGTATGTAAAATAAATACGGGAAATGAGATTTTAACAACTATGCAACTGGTTTACGAGTGTGTATTTTTTTTTATAAAGTTTATTAGATAATAGGACGTCATAGTAACAAGGTGTTCTATATTAACTATTTAGTCTACAGAGGAAGTGTATAGGGATACTTACCAACATTAAATAAACGGACAGTTGCGAACCTCACTTTACAAAAAATTTAAGATCTTATACAATTATATCACTTTGGTATTTATAGCTCAAAGGTTTCAAAGATAATGGATATCGCCAGAACCGACTATAAATTACACATAATAATAGAATTGTGTCCATTTAATCACTCAAAGCAACTACCGCTACAGACAGATGCCACAAATTCATAATTAACATACTGCGATTAGCAAAAACTTAACTGACGTAGGTATACGTATTCGCTAACAATTTTGTTAAAACAAAAGGTAAACGTGCGATAATGTCAATGTTTTAAAGTATTGTATCGTGTTGTTCACTGTTTAAAATACCTTAACCTACTAACAATATACTGTTAAGGCGTACCGAAGTATACTGTTAGTGAGCAAATTGGAGATTACTGTCCTTTTTTACAGAACAAAGGTAACAAACGAGCACACAGTCCACGTGATGATAAATAGATGAGCCACAGTCCATAGACATCTACGTTTATCCAAGATTAATAATAAAATGGTATTCTGAGTTCCCACCCCGGTTGAGCCGACACATTCATGATACAATCATAATATAGCTGTAGTGTGGCTCTACCACAAGTAAAAACTGTACCAGACATTACGCACGTCTGATGCTGTTTTCCGTCGCGAGTTTGCGTATTGATCATCTGGTATTATGCTCACGCTCATATTATTATACATAGCTATTTAGAACATTTTGACCTATTTTATACAGAGCTAAGATACCGAAGGGTTGGCTCGACCGGGATAGGACCACCTCGCAAAGAATACCAGCGTAAAATATAGGAGGAGATTGTTAAGTCTATTGGTCACTGTCTCCATTTACTGTGTAGTTGTTTGCAACCCTTATTCTGTAAAAAAAATAAAGCTTACCAGTTAAAATCCGGTTCTTCAAACCATGTTCAACCGGATCATGGTAATCTGTGAGAACGTGATATTTCCTCGGTCGGACCAATTCTTTCAGGTTGCAACCTATAGCTGCAGCGTGAAAGTAGGTACATACGTTTCTCGTTGGATTAAATAGGTAGTGCTTAGATTCTACAGAGTAAACTGCACGTAACATATAATTTTGTATATTGTTTTAATTTTAAGTTTTTAAGAAGTATATTAGGACTAAATCTGAATAACAATATGAGAAATTGTGTGATAAGAGAAATTTTTGGTGAATAAGATGATATTTTGACCAAGATTACGAAAGGAATGATTCGGTAATTTGATGGAAAAGTGTGAAAGGTGTGAACGAGGAAAGAGTGGTGAAGTAAATTTATGTTGCAGAAGTGAATTGCCGAGTCGGCAAGGGTCGCTCTAGACGAAAGTTTATCGACCAAATTCGCAATACATATAAGATGGGCCAAATTACCACCCTGTAATAATAATAATAATAAGTATATAAATAATAAGTACCCTTAACTGTCGAACATTTATACTTAGGTATACTGTATGTAAAAGAAAGTAAGAAAGAAAGAGATATTCATTTGGCCATTTCTTAACAAATTGCACTAAATACTCAAAACAAACATTATGGTTAGGTGTTCTTATAGGTAGACTTAATTATACACTTACAATGAAAAATAAATCATTTTGACAATGCAGATAGATACAAAATACATTAAAAATAGTGAACAGCTAACTAAAAAAATTTTTAATGGGAAGTGGTCCAAATAGGATTGCCACTCAGAAAACGCTAGGATGTATCATCCTAGCACTGATTTTCAGTGGCTACCTTACGTACATTACATACACACACATATAATCTATATACATGTACGTTGATACATACACCTACATACATAAATATATACATACGCATAACACACATACACATACACACGGGCACATATTTTCTATATATACGGGCACATATAATACATACTTATTTGGATTAACCCCAACCGCCAAATTTCGTGAACGCACTACGCGGCAAACGTCCCGATACCGTCCACACCATCTGGATGCTTCGCGGTCCACCACTGTACGTTTCACAAGGAGTTTTCTTCCGCGTACCACCTCTCGTGGAATAGTTTACAACCGGCGATTTTTCCGGACCGTTACGACCTGGGGACCTTCAAGAAAAGAGCTTACTCCTTTCTAAAGGGCCGGCAACGCACCTGCAATTCCCCTGGTGTTGCGGTTAATCATGGGCGGCGGTAGTCACTTAACAACAGGTAAGCCACATGCTTATTTGCCCCCTATTCTATAAAAAAGTGACGGACTGATTGATTTATATCCCTGGCTCTGAGAGGAGACCCTTTGCTAGCAGTGGAATATTCAGAACTCCTGACGCGGGCACTGCTTTATTTTTTCTGCTCATGCAGGTGAATTCCGCACTTGTGTGACCTCCTTCCGTACTCTCGTTCACTCTGAATACTGACTGTAACTTTATAGGTAATGCAAATCCCGACATTAAACCTTTGTGGACCAATTAGTAGTCAAATATTTGATTCATAAGGCTGAAAGAAAAGAAAGAAAAGACAAGACGTACTCTCGTTCACTCTGAATACTGACTGTAACTTTATAGGTAATGCAAATTCCGACATTAAACCTTTGTGGACCAATTAGTAGTCAAATATTTGATTCATAAGGCTGAAAGAAAAGAAAGAAAAGACAATAATCCATTCTGAATCTGCCACATTATTGCAAAATTTATTCTTTCAAAATATTTAGTTTAAGTCAGCGTTAAATAAACTGTCACACAAATTCCATATGCAATCATAGTTAAGCGACCGGGTCCTGTTGTATTACTAAGCCATTTGATGGTTGATCGGATTAAAAGCCACTTTATTGATTTCCAGCTCAAAGACTTAAGGGGGATTTCAAAGGAACATAAACTATTCAATCGGAAGACTAGCTCCATTAAGATGGTAAGATATGTTAGTTGATATTCATTATTATATACGGGCGCAGACGCCATCTATTGGCAATAATTGGCAAATATTGGTATTTATGTTTTAGTTTATCGTTAAGTAAATATATTATTATTAAGTATTGAAATATCTGAAATATATAAGATTCAAATTCAAGTAGTTATTTGTAAACATAAAACCATTATTTGTTAAGGTCTGATATTTAGTATACACTGTTTTGCCTGTTTGAAAATATTGAAGAAGTTTGATGTTTCGTTTATTGTTTAAATACTCATTTTACTATGTTAATGTTCAAGTTAATATCTATTCGAATTAATATTATTATACTGCATCAAATTTTATTATTTTATGCAATAAGTCTTGTTTAATTTCATTCGAATAATGCTTGCAGCGCAATCTTTCAACAGACTACATAAAAGTAACGTTTATGTAATAAATAAGTCATTTGAAAATATTTAAATTCATTAAAATATTTATTTTTTATATTAAGCTGTATATTAAGAATTATTTTAGAAGCTGACTATTCATTAATTAGAGAGAAAATAACAGACTCCGTTGAAGGAAAACGTAAACAAGTTGATGTGAAGTTTGTCGGTATTAGGAGGCAAACAGTTGTCTCAAAACAAAGCATTACAACTATACTTGAAATTGATAATATTCGCTTAGAGCTCGAGTTTAATATAGTATGTGATAATGAAACTCAATTTGATATCTTAGTAGCTTTTAATCTTTTCAAAATATCCGGCCTAAGCGTTACCCTTAGCGAGGAAAATATATCCATTAATCGCGAGTTTTTTTTTTAAATCAATGAATGTCTAAATTTGACATCCTTCTTGAATTAGATACCTACCTTACTGACCAAATACAAATTAAAGATATATATCGTATTATCAATCAGAGTTCAAATATAATTTCACATCTGGAAGTCGCGTCTCATAAGTGACCACCGGGGAACTAAAAGTTTGATTTAAAAATCCCGAAAAGATTGTGCAACGCCGATCATATTGTTTGTGATATTATTAAAGACTTAAAAGAAAATGGCATGATAAGAGATAACTCATCCCCGTGACGCAGCTCTATCTTATTAGTCAAGAAAAAAGACACGAACCGATTTTGCGTTGATTTCCGAGAGTTAAATTAAAAAATTCAAATACTGTTAGAGAAAATTACCCTTTACCCCGTATAGCAGACCAAATTGATAGATTAGGCAAAGCTCAATATTACTCGTATAAAAATTTATACGTGGTAGAAGAGCCTTGCTGCAACTATATCATAGTTGTAGCATGAATGGGTCGGCTCGACCGGGTAAAGACCACGCTCTCATAGAATATCAGCGTAAAATAGCAGCTTAATGCTGTTGTGTTTTGTATGGTGAGTGGAGAGAACCGATGACACGTTTCAAGGAATCGAGGCATTCCATCTTAGTCATCAAAATCCTGATGAGCCGTGGTAGCTCAGATGGTTAGCGCTCGCTGTAAATTTCACAGTACGCGAGCAAACCGGGTTCAATCCCCGCTGGCATCAATGAAATTGTTAATTGCAATTTTAAGTGCTGATTTACCACGTGCTCGGCGGTTAAGGAAAACATCGTGAGGAAACCTGCATGTCTGAGAAATAAGAAAAAAAATCGTAGACATGTGAAGTTCGCCAACACGCATTGGGGCACCGTGACGGACACTTCCTTGCCCTAATACCCTCTCAGAAATGAGAGGAGGCCTGTGCCCAGCAGTGGGACGTATAAAGGCTGTAACTTTACATCAAAGTCTTGCGGAATTATTAAAAATCATCCTCACTTGCCATTAAAATATTGCAAATTGATAATGACATACTAACAGATGACTAAAAGGAGGTTAGATTGATGGCTAAAAAACTAATGGACGAGCGGTCCCTCAACGATAAAACTCGTTATGATAAAGGAAAAGCCAAAATCGGTCGGTGAATTCGCCTTAATGCGGAGCTATGATCGACACGTTACTAAGTTAGGCTCTAAATTTGAAGGTCCGATGAAAATTTTAGAAATATTACCAAATAATCGATATAGACTTAAGCATGTTAACTTTCGTGGCTATTCAGAAAATATTGCAAGTCGCGATGCTTTACGTTCTGCTCCCATAGCTCAATCACACCCTTATAATAATTCTGACAACTCAGACGAATTGACCGTATGGGCACAGAAATCTGTGGAGACCGAGGGTGCTTCCACTCCCTCTGCGGACAATGTTGATTATATATGATTGCATTTTTGTTTTTTGATAATTGATATGGTTAAGGATTTAATTTTGTAATTATAACCGTGTGTGCGTGAAATGTATTTTTCCTATCTACCATCCTTCCTAAAACCAAACCGTTAGCCAAGTGCTCCTAGCCAGTAATGAAATATTTATGGATGGTAAAAGGAATGAGGAAGGCACAAGGTGATTATTAAGATCATCACTAAGTCATTAGACACTCATCTATCTATCAATATAATACAGTTGCATTTATGTTGCATGTAAGGTTAATGTTTAAGAAAATAGATAAAAAGTGGTATAAATTCGTCTATTTTTAAATCTCGCGTGCCCAGAATTTATGAACGACTTTTATTGTAATTTAAATAAATATATTTGTAATTTAAATGTTATGTTAATAAGTTTTGTTAGACATACATTTAGTATGTTTTTTATATTTGACTTAGATACCTTTTAAAAAATTCAGATAAAAATATCATTAAAATGTAAGTGTGATATAATATCATGTAATATTATATTAAATAAGCATATATGATATACAAAATAAATGACAAAATTTAAATATTGTTCTCGATATAATTTACCTATTTAACAATACAATCTACTATTACCTACGGGTTATTCTACCTATGTTTATTCTTATCTTCTTATGCACATTTTTTGTTTGAGATAGCTGGTCTAGTACTACATATTACTTCAATGGTATTGTAATATATTCGTCCTATATTTATGTACCCACAGAAATGTGGCATCTGAACAAATTAATTTCATAATCTATATTCCATGACACGAGATGACGTCTCAGGAATAATTTGTTTTATTATTAATCTATAATACTGTGGCGGCGCTGTCGTCGCGCCGCAAGCGAAACACACCGAAGCTTAAATCATGCTATCAACATTCCGAATCATAAACAGCATATATAGAACATCTCCTAACTATCACACAGGGTGTTGGCCGCTCCCCGGGCAGAACACCTTGCCCGGGAAGCGGCCAACACCACTTTTATTGATTAAGTATCTTATTAAGGGACGGAAAGTAATTCCTTGGTTTTTACTGACATTTCATAAATTATTTCTGCAATATCTAAATACACACGACGGCATATTTTTATCAAAAGATTTTTAATTAAATCAACACAACACATGACTACTCTACAAGCGCCTAGCGAGTGACTGATTAAAGAGCAGCGTTAAGCTGAGAACAAATTATCGGACGCGTCCGTCAGCCGCGGCTGACTGACGCGGCTTAGCGGTGTGCACGGTAGCTGAGACGGCGTCCTCGGACGCCTCGCTTCGGTCATTCCAGAAAGGTTTTGTCAATCGAGAAACATGACAAACAGTGACAGCGAGGACGAATTTATAAATTTAGCGGCAGCTGCTTTATGTCGTCCTCCAAAAAATAGGGGACCCAGACACTCCTTGTCCATGATATTAATGTAAAACGACTCGAGTATGATGAATTTCATACATTGTAGGTATCCAGACTTACAAAAAGATGATAAACGTTAAAAAATGTACTTATGAATGTACTAATACGTACTTATAAATATAGGCACTCGTGGCCATGAACACATTCAATTAATTTTTTTTCATTACACATCATGTCGCGAGCGCAGTTGGTTCGCTTGTGACACTCGAAACGTCCGCGGACGCGCCCCGTGCCCCGTTCAAAGCTGAGAACAAATTATTGGACGCGTCCGTCAGCCGCGGCTGACAGACGCGGCTTAGCGGTGTGCACGGTAGTCGAGACGGCGTCTTCGCACGCCTCGCTTCGGTCATTCCATAAAGGTTTGTCATTCGACAAATATGACAAGCCGCGACAGCGAGGATGAATCTATAAAGTTAGCGGCAGCTGTTTTATATTGTCCTACTAAAAAAAGTGAAAAGGAGTGCTTGGGTCCATGATATTAATGTAAAACGACTCGAGTATGATGAATTTCATACATTGTACAAAATGTACTTACAGACTTACAAAAAGATGATAAACGTTAAAAAATTTACTTATGAATGTATTAATAATATGTACTTATAAATATCATCATCATATCATTACACATCATGTCGCGAAAGCAGTTGGTTCGCTTGTGACACTCGAAACCGTCCCGTGCCCCGTTCACACTGTCCGCGGACGCACCAAACATCCAGCCGGCCAGATTCTGTTCGGACGCCGAACGCTCAAGAGCGACGCAAGGTCATGTCCGCGTCTTACGGCCGATAGTTTGCACAGTGTAGTATTAAATGTACTGGCTAGATCTCAATAAGCCGCTGCTGCCAGCCGCGTCCATCAGCTGCGTCCGATAATTTGTTCTCAGCTTTAATGGTGGTTAATATAGCGCATAGCGCCATATTATAGCGCGCTATCTCTTCATAACGTAACGTAAGTAGTCGCCATGGCGCTATTGCGCTATGACGCTTTGGCGCTATTAAGTATTAATATCTAGCAGCAATTATTTCTAGCAGCAGCGCTGTTGGGAGAGGACGTGTGACGCAAATTTGATCTCGTAGCGCGCTATTCAACGCGCGCGACCTAATTTAATGTTAGAAGTTGTTTAGTTAGTGTATACTGTACATTTATAAATGATCAAAGGACACAGTTGTGATAAAAGCCTAACTACTGTTTTTAAATGTAAATAAAATATAGATACAATAGTGTATATAATAGTATATGTAAATAATTGATTGTTATAAATACAATAAATAAACTTTTAATTACTAGGCTTTACTAAAAGTATCGGGAATGGAATATTTCCACTGTTCCTGTCATATTAAATTTTTAAATTGAAAACTCCTTGGTTTCAAAAATCGAATATCATTTATTTATTTAAAAAAAGATTCACGGTCCTGTCACAAGGTTTTGTCAAACTTGTTTAGTCATTGAGAGAATGGAATTGACTCGAGGAAATTCAAGAGCGATGATTTATTATGACTTTCGAAGTGATTTAACACAAAAACAGTGTGTTGACCGGATCATTTCTGCATTTGGTGATTAAGCCCCATCCGAAACCACAATTTATCGCTGGTTTGCTGAATTTCAACGTGGACGTGTTAAGATGATGATCCCCGTCAAGGTCGTCCAAAAACTGCAGTTACCCAAGAAAACGTTGATGCTGTGCGTAAGCTGATTGAGGAAGATCGACATGTGACATATCGCGAAATTTAGGCAACTTTAGACATCGGCATGAGTCAAATACAAATAATCTTGCATGAACAATTAGGTGTAAAAAAGTTGTTTTCCCGATGGATACCGCATTCGCTCTGTGAAGAGCAAAAAGCGGCTCGCGATACTTGGTGCGTCAGAACTCTAGAAAGATTCCACGCAGGATCTTTAAATGCTGTATACAACATCGTATCAGGTGACGAATCCTGGATATTCGTGTACGAACCCGAAACAAAAAAACCAGTCACGAGTTTGGGTGTTCGAAAATGAGTTAAAGCTAACAAAAATTGTTCGTTCACGGAGTGTTGCAAAAAAAATAGTGGCCACGTTTGTCTCCAAAACCGGACATGTTACGACTATTCCTCTTGAGGGACAAAGAACGGTTATTGCAGAATGGTATGCTAGCATTTGTTTGCCACAAATCGTTTCTGAACTCCGTAAAGGAACTGCAACCGCCGCATCATCCCCCATCACGACAATGCGAGTTCTCACACCGCACACAGAACAAAAGAGTTTTTAGCGTTTAGCGTTTTGAACAGCAAGAAAATATAGAATTATTAGACCATCCGCCGTACAGCCCCGACCTGAGCCCTAATGATTTCTATTCTTTCCATAAAATAAAGAATAAATTGCGTGGACAGAGATTTTCATCACCTGAAGAAGTTGTGGACGCCTACAAAACGGCCATTTTGGAGACCCAAACTTCCGAATGGAATGGTTGCTTCAATGATTGGTTCCATCGTATTGAAAAATGTGTCAAATTTCGCGGAGAATACTTCGAAAAGCAATAAATACATTTTTAAATAGTAATGTTGTGTCACTTCCCTGATTCCCGAAATTTTCAGTGCCACCCTCGTACATCTTTAATTGATTTATAATTTATATTAAGGGTATAATAATGTTTACATCAATTATAATAAAAATAAATAATTTTATTTCGATTCTAAAAATAAAATTTATTTTATTTTAAAAAGAACATGACTTAAAAATATTTTTAGGATTATAGAAAGCAGTAAGCCTGAAAAGTATGAAAAAGTGTGCATTGGTTTTTCTTTACCGCTTTATTTTATTTTAGTCTAAAATGCGATTTATTACGAAATAATGTTCTTATACAGCATGCGATCTATCTAATGAAAAAAATAAAAAACCAGCTAATTGTAACATCAGTATTTTAATTGATTAATTGCTCAACAGTCTCAGAGTAATTACTAACATAGAGAGAGTCCTAATAGAAACGAAATCTTATAGCTGAAGTCTTTACATGTATGACGTTTAACATAGTACAAAATAAAATATCATTTTCGCCTTCCTTCTTTATCAAGGTTGTTGCCGTTTTGCCATTCCATTGACACCTCTACTGATGTGCTATTAAGGAAACATAAAGTTTTGAATAAATTAATCTAGTCTAGGACTTTTATTAATCCGGTTTGCGTCAAAATTAATTTGTGATCCGGTTCGTAATACTTATTTATATCAATGAAAGTTTATGGAAGCTTCATCTGACATCTTACAACAAAAATGTAGTCGAATAATGCGGAATTTCATACCCATTGTTGCATAATTTAAAATATATCGTAAAAGATCATTATAAAATCTAATGACTTCTTATATTTACGCGAACACTACACATTGATTAAAACTACTTTTTACGGATTTTATCGCGTTTCAATTATTATATTTTTAATACCCGACGTTTCGGGTGCTTTCCAGCACCCATGGTCAAGGGGGACTGAAGTGACTGACGTCCCGATGTCAAAGTTAACACGTAGCTGCTGAAGCTGAAGGTACTCCGTGTTAACTTTGACATCGGGATCTCAGTCACCTCAGTCCCCCGTGACCATGGGTGC